TCGTTCGCTATACTCTGTGCTCGCGTTCGCTTGGTAAACGGCCGGGGTGCTATAATGTAGCGCACCGGACGTTACATATGTACTCTTTATTTTATTTTGTAACATTTATAATATAATTTGTATCGGATATGTAAACTGTATAATTATTTTTAATCTTCCAGCCATCATTAGATCACCTATGTGAAATCCGACATTTGACTTACAAAAATGCTTGACTTAATTTAATGCTCATTAAAAATATTTTTTTCTTGAAGTCGAGTGCCGCAGATTCACATAGGTTTTGTGTAAAATATTAACTTATTTTCAGTGGTACAAATTAGTATAAATTCAGTTTTGTTCATTTTTGCCCTTGTGTTGTTTCTTTTTTATGGTCCTGCTAGCTTAAATATTAAACTAGCAGCGCCACTGTTTTCTGGGAAATGACGCATAATATAGAATTTCTTTTGGTGGTACAAATTAGTACAAATTCGATACTATTTCTTTCTTTATTTATTTATTTATTTTTCTTTTTTTTTTAATTGGCTTAATATTAACCTGGCAGCGCCACGTTTTTTTCAATGATTTGTTACGATTGCAAATTAATTCGTCAATGTAACAAATAATCAATAGTATTGCTAGCAAATATAAGAGACTCATATATATGTATATATAAAAGTCGTAGACGGTTGCAGGGTCTGAAATCGTAAGAAATTGACTTATTCTAATCACGTATTCTCCCTATATTTGACTGTGCTTGTTCGGTTTCCTACGACTTAAGACTCCACGATCATCTACGAATTCTATGTAAACGAGCTAAAGTCTATCCAAAAGATAGGTTAGATTCTATATAGTTTGTTTCTGTTACTAATAATTGGTTGGTACAGCAGACTAGCAGCAATCACAACAACATTATTTGTTGTAACATATTTACCGATCACCGGTTAAAGGATTGTTGGTACAGCAGACTAGCAGCAATCACAACAACATTATTTGTTGTAACATATTTACCGATCACTGGTTAAAGAAGCTCTATAAAGCTGGCAGGACCAAATGAGCAGAATCAAATTGGACCTATTGGAATTTTTAGTACTTTTTTTGTACTAATTTGTACCATAAAAAAAA